AAGACAGTGGGCAATCTTGTCTTGTTCCTGATTTTTATGGAATTGCTTTGAGTTTCTCTCCATTTAATTTGAGGTTGGCAATCAGCTTGCTGTATATTGCTTTTATTATGTTTAGGTATGTATCCCTGCTATCTCCAAGACTTTTATCATGAAGGGGTGTTGGATTTTGTCAAAGGCTTTTCCAGCATCTAACAAGATGATCATGTGCTTTTTTTTTTTCTTTCAGTTTATTTATATGGTGGACTGCATTGACCAATTTTCACATGTTGAAGTATTCCTGCATCTCTGGAATGGAGCCTACTTGGTTATGGTGGATGATCTTTTTGATGTGTTCTTGGATTTGAATTTTATAGAGTATTTTTGCACCAATGTTCATGAGTGAAAATGGTCTGTAACTCTCTTTCTTTTTGGGTCTTTCTGTGTTTTAGGTATCAGGGTAACTGTAGCCTCATTGAAAGAGTTTGGCAATGTTCCCTTTGTTTCTATTTTGTGGAATGATTTGAAGAGTATTGGTATTAGCTCTACTTTGAAAGTCTGGTAGAATTCTGCATTAAACCAGTCTGGCCCTGGGATTTTTTGGGGTGGGAGACTTTTAATGACTGCTTCTATTTCCCTGGGGGTTATAGGTCTATTTAATTGTTTAACTGACCTTGATTTAACTTAGGTAAGTGATTTCTATCTATCAAGGAATTCGTCCATGTCTTTTAGATTTTCCAATTTTGTGGAGTACAGGTTTTTGAAGTATGACCTAATGTTCTCTGTGTTTCCTCAGAGTCTGTTGTTATGTCTCCCTTTTCACTTCTAATTTTGTTGATTTGGATATTCTCTTTCTGCTTTTTAGTTAGTTTGGATAAAGGTTTATCTATTTTGTTGATTTTCTTGAAGAACCAACTCTTTGTTTCATTGTTTCTTTGAATTATTCTCTTTGTTTCTATTTTATTGATTTTAGGCCTCAGTTTGATTAGTTCCTGCCGTCTACTCTCCTCGGGTATGTCTGATTCTTCTTGTTCTAGAACTTTCACCCACCGAGCACATGACTGGGGGGAGGGAGGGAGGGCTGAGGGAATTCTAGGAAATAGATGACTGTGAGAATTAGTTGTTGACAAGGAGAGATTCCCTGTACCCTGTGGTGGTATTGTGCTCCCCAAAATATTGTGCACCCTAATAAACTTATCTGGCATCAAAGAACAGAACAGCCACTAGATACAGAGGCTAGAAAATGGTGACACTCACGCCTTTAATTCTAGCATTCCAGAGGCAGAAATCCCTCTGGATCTCTGTGAGTTCAAGGCCACATTGAAAACAGCCAGGCATGGTGACTCACGAGCTTAATCCCAGGAAGTGAGCCTTTAATCCCAGGGAGTGATGGCAGAAAGCAGAAAGATATATAAGGCATGAAGAGCAGAAACTAGAGGCATTTGTCTGGTTAAGCTTTGAGGCTTTTGAGCAGCAGTTCAGCTGAGATTTATTCTGGATGAGGACTGAGAAGCTTCCAGTCTGAAGAAACAGGATCAGCTGACGAACTGGCGAGGTGAGATGGCTGTGGCTTGTTCTGCTTCTCTGATCTTCCAGCATTCACCCCAATAACTGGCCTCAGGTTTGATTTTATTAATAAGACCTTCTAAGATTCCTGCTGCAGTACCCCCTTTATGTAGCTTTGTGTATTTCTGATTCCCCCAAGTGTTGGTGCATCATCTTGATATTATGAATTGAATAAATGACTTCTTAGGCTTAAAGATACAGATCTATTATTCTCCTGCCTTCTTTCTTGGTTCTTGGCATATAGGCAGGTATTTCCCAACATCCCTTGTCACTGGGTTGGTGAATTAGCCATGGGAATATGAGATAGTTTAAAGGTTGCCATATCCAGGCTCAATTGTAAAACATCTGTAATAATCACTGGCTCTCATTACCTGCCAATCAGCTCAAGACAAAAGGATCCAGAAAGCCCAAAGTGATAGCCCAGGAACAAGCCTGAAGTCTAGGTCCTGAGTCACTGACTCGGGGAAATCACATCTTGCCTTAGACTATGCCTGGCAAAAACAACAACAACAAAAAACAAAGTATGTGTGGTGGCTCTGAGATTTGGGGATAATTTGTCATTGTAACTTAGATACTAGCTGATACAGTTTCTTTTTGTACTGTGTTTTTAATGATCTGTTTCTTTTGTCTCCTTATTTGTCCAACATGATATGCACAAGAAAGAGAAGATATGAGTTCAGGGGACTTACGACATAAGTGTTTAAAGACTTACTCTTCTGTTAAGTAGATGTTGTATTAGATTAGTGTTGACTGCAGAGCCTGTGGTGAGTGGGTAGTACAATCAGAAGAGAAAGCTCAGAGGGACCGAGGTTGGAAGTCCTAGGTACAGAAGATGTCAGCACATATTGCACACAGAAGGTGGTGAATTGTTACAAATATTTCCTGAAGACTGGAGTCTGATGTAGGCATGGAGGGAGGAAGAGGAGATAGGTAAAGCCAAATAAAACACCTCTGCTTGGAGGCACACACACAGTTACTCAATGCAACCAGGCCAGTGAGTTAAAGAAAACCCACAATAGCTGGGCGGTGGTGGCACACGCCTTTAATCCCAGCACTAAAGAGGCAGAGGCAGGCGGATCTCTGTGAGTTCAAGGCCAGCCTGGTCTACAGAGCGAGATCCAGGACAGCAATGGTTACACAGAGAAACCCTGTCTAAAGAAAAGAGAGAGAGAGAGAGAGAGAGAGAGAGAGAGAGAGAGAGAGAGAGAGAGACAGAGAGACAGAGAGACAGAGAGACAGAGACAGAGAGACAGAGAGACAGAGAGAATAAAAAAGAAAACCAACAGTAAGCACAATGGAGAAGAAAAAGGGGAAGGAAACATTCTAAATATCATCAAAGTCCATGGAATGGGATGTAGCAGGAATCTTAAAAGTTCTTATTAATAAAATCAAACCTGAGCCAGGTATTGGGGTGAACTGGAAGATCAGAGAACCGGAACAAGCCACAGCTACCTCACCTTGCCAGATCCTCAACTGGTCTTGTCTCCTCAGACTGGAGGCCTCTGAGTCCTCATCCAGAATGGGTCTCAGCTGAATTGCTGCTCAAAAGCCTGAAAGCTTAACCAGCCAAATGCTTAACCAGCCAAATGCTGCTAGTTTCTGGTCCTCACGCCTTATGTATCTTTCTGCCTTCTACCACCACTCCCTGGGATTAAAGGCTCACTTTCTTGGATTAAAGGCATGTGTCACCATGCCTGGCTATTCCCAATGTGGCCTTGAACTCACAGAGATGAGGGATTTCTGTCTCTGGAATGCTAGAATTAAAGGCGTGAGTGCCACCATTTTCTAGCCTCTGCATCTAGTGGCTGTTCTGTCTCTGACCCCAGATAAGTTTATTAAGGTACACAATATTTTGGGGAACACAATACCACCACAATGGGAGATCTGGGATGCAGAATATATGGAGAAAGGGGCACTTGAGTAGATCTTTGAAAGACAGGAAATATGTCAGAGTAGAGGAAACAAATGTAGAAGAATCACAACTGAATTCCCTGGAAGTGAGGATGAATGGCAAGGATAGTAGGGATGCATATGGAAAGGGTGGACACGGGAATGGAAAGATGAAGAGCGAAGTCTCTCGTTGGTTGTCTCCTCTTCCTCGTTATACATTCAGATAACTAAAAACTCTAAGATCCTTGCAGAAGCACAGTGTGGAGTCCTGTGGCAGTTATGAACATGCTGAGAAGCCAAAAGTGGATCGATAGTTTTTAAAATCAAAATCCTGAGATGAAAAGGCAGAGCAACAAACATTTGGATCCTTCTCAAGTTCAGGTGTATCTGCCAAGCAGTGGAGAGTCTTTTCAATTATGGAAGGTGAACAAATGGTGTTAATTCAGGATGTTCAGCTGCATTTCCTTCCACACCATGTGGACACATGCTGTGGGATGGTCTGTATGTCAAATGTGTTGCTGATTGGTCAATAAATAAATCACTGATTGGTCAGTGGCCAGGCAGGAAGTATAGGCGGGACTAACAGAGAGGAGAATTGAGAGAACAGGAAGCTGGGTGGGAGAGACACTGCCAGCTGCCATGATGAGAAACAGCATGTAAAGATGCCGGTAAGCCATGAGCCATGTGGCAAGGTATAGATTAATAGAAATGGATTAATTTAAGCTGTAAGAACAGTTAGCAAGAAGCCTGCCATGGCCATACAGTTTGAAACCAATATAAGTCTCTGTGTTTACTTGGTCGGGTCTGAGCAGTTGTGGGACTGGCAGGTGGCAGAGATTTATCCTGACTGTGGGCCAAGCAGGAAAACTCTAGCTACAAATGGCGTCCAACGTGGTGGCAAGAGTTTCAACCTAAAACCTGAGAAAAGATTCTAAAACGGAGCTAAAAACAGCTTCCTAATTGTCTCTCTCAAATGAGCGGCAGCTGCCGGTTTGAGCTACTTGTGGGTTCCTAGTGTGTGCGTTAGACCTGCAGTATGGCGGGAAGGAGGCCTCTGCAAGTGGCACATTAAGCTGCGTGGTGGATTTAGCCTTGCAGGTACAAAACAAAAAAAAAAAAGAGATTTTTGGGCTACATGCTGCTTGGATAAAAGCATAGACCCACGATAGCTCCCAGAGCTGGTGGTAAACTACCACCGCCATGTTGGGAAGCTGAGGTGGGTGGAGCCAGCAGCCACAGCTGCTGCAGCTTAAAGCAATAGATTCACAATAAGACAGACTCAGATGTAATAGTTTACAATGTGTGTAAAATATACGTAGGCTTGGAAGAGAGAGAAAAAGGAATATATACAGTTATATAAAGAAATACATAGTTTTTAAAAATAAAGTCTTTAAAGAGACAGTAAAATTAATATTGTAAAGGAAGCTGAGTTAAACCAATATGCATATTTTAAAGGTACCTTGACTTCAAAATTTAGATATAAGGAAATGTTGCTTTGGAAAGGAGACTCTGCTTTTGTTCCCACAGAAAGCCAGAGGCTATGGATTTGTTCCAGATTAAGATACATCAGGTTTGACCAGTCAAGACCCCCTGAAAGGTCTCCGATGACACCAAGGCCCAGATGATCCAACATCCATAATCGTTTGAAGGCAACTGGCTCAGACGATACACCCTCATGGACTATTCCATAATTCTAAAATTTTCTTTGTGTCCCCATAAGATACAGCGCCCCCCTCCAGCAGGAAGTAATAAGAGAAGCTACGCCCAAATTCCCAAATATACCAAGCTGACTTTGGAGATGTGTAAAGGTTAAAACCTTCCTTTTTAAGAAAAGAAAAGGGGAAGTGCTGTGGGATGGTCTGTATGTCAAATGTGTTGCTGATTGGTCAATAAATAAATCACTGATTGGTCAGTGGCCAGGCAGGAAGTATAGGCGGGACTAACAGAGAGGAGAATTGAGAGAACAGGAAGCTGGGTGGGAGAGACACTGCCAGTCACCATGATGAGAAACAGCATGTAAAGATGTCGGTAAGCCACAAGCCACGTGGCAAGGTATAGATTAATAGAAATGGATTAATTTAAGCTGTAAGAACAGTTAGCAAGAAGCCTGCCATGGCCATACAGTTTGAAACCAATATAAGTCTCTGTGTTTACTTGGTCGGGTCTGAGCAGTTGTGGGACTGGCGGATGGCAGAGATTTATCCTGACTGTGGGCCAGGCAGGAAAACTCTAGCTACAGACACAAAGAAACAGGACTGGGAATGTCTTCTTTTAAGATCTATGGAATGATGCCTTCAGTAGGGTTTCGTTGCTGTGAAGAGACACCATGACCACAGCAACTTTTATAAAGGAAAACATTTAATTGGATGGCTTACAGTTTCAGAGGTTTAGTCCATTATCATCATGGCAGGAAATGGTGGTGTGCAGGTAGACATGGTGCTGGAGAAGGAGCTGAGCATTGTACATTTTGACCTGCAGGCAACAGGAAGTGGTCTGACACACTAGGCATGGCTTGAGCACATATGAGACCTCCGCCCCTACAGTGACATACTTCCTCCAATGAGGAAATACATACTCCAACAAAGCCACACCTCCTAATAGTACCACTCCCTATGAGCTTATGGGGACCAATTACATTCAAATTACCACATTCCACTAGCTGGCCCCCATAGGCTTATAACTATATAATAACGCAAAATACATTTATTTAGTCCAACTTCAAAAGTCCCCATAGTCTATCACAGTCTCAACAATATTTTAAAGTCCAAAGTTCAAAGTCTCTTCTGAGATTCATGCAATCTCTTAACTTTAATCCCCTATAAAATCAAAATAAAACAGATCACATACTTCCAACATATAGTGGCACAGGATATACATTACTGTTCCAAAACATAGAGAAGTGAGCATAGTGAAGAAATACTGGACCAAAGAAAGACCAAAACCCAGCTGGGCAAACTCCAAATTCTACATCTCCATGACTGATGTCAAAATGCTCTTCAGATCTCCATCTCCGTTCTGCTTTGTTGACTGCAACAAATTTCTTTCTCTTGGGCTGGATCCACTCCCTGTTAGCAGCTTTCATTGGCAGGTGTCCAGTGACTCTGGCATCTCTACCATCTCGGGGTCTCCATTCAGGTTTCTCCCTCACAGCTTCACAGAAAGGCCTCTCTCGGCCTCCATTCAGTGACACCACTGACACATGCCTGGCCTCATCAGCTTTCCATAGTCATTCTCTCACTCTAAAGCCAGAACCACGTGGCTGAAGCGCTTGTTGAGGCTGGAACATGACCTCTCATTCAATTGTATATTCACTAGCTTTCTGTTTTCCATGGTTTCCTTCACTGCTGAAACTTGGCTGTCCTTGAACTTTCTCTATATGCCAGGCTGGCCTCAAACTCAGAGATCTGCCAGCTTCTGCCTTCCCAATGCTGAGATTAAAGGCATGCACCACCACACCCAACTCTAAGCTTTTCTTTAATTCCTTTCACAAGTTGGAAACTTAGATAGGTGGGATCTTGTCCTGAGGTCACCACTCTCTTTAATACATTCCTTAATCTGTTTATCTCCCCAGACACAGGGCTTAGCTCCATTCCCCTTTCTGATGCTCCTTTTCTCCTCAGTTTTATATTTTGTATTTTTCCTTGCTCTGCTTGCTCTTTTTCAATATAAATCCACATTAGAGTTAACACTAATAACCACATGATAGAAACTATACTAGGTTGTTTTGAAATTTCCTCTGCCAATGAAATTAATCTAAAACTCTTCACTTTAGCCTCAGGGAGACTCTTTGGACAAGGACAAAAAGCAGCCATTTTGTTCATCAAAATATCTCAAGATTGATCTCTAGGCAACATACTAAAATTCTTCTCCTCTGAAACTTCTTGAGCCAGCCCCCTACAGTTCAAATCACTCTTAGCACTACTGACTTCCATGTTCCTACTGGTATGGCCCATTAAGTAGCACTTAAAGCATTCCACTGCTTTCCTAACACAAAGTACCGAAGTCCAAATTCCTCCAAACAAAAACACGATCAGGCTTATCACAGCAATGCCCCACTCCTGGTATCAACTTCTGTCTTAGTTAGGGTTTCTGTTGCTGTGAGGAGACACCATGATCATGGAAACTCTTATAAAGAAAAACATTTAATTGGGCTGGCTTACAGTTTCAGAGGTTTAGTCCATTATCATCATGGTGGGAAGCATGGTGGCACACAGGCAGACATGGTGCTGGAGAAGGAGTAGAGAGTTAATACATCTTGATCTGCAGGCAACAGGAAGTGAACTAGCCATAGCTTGAGCACAGAAGACCTCAGAGTCCCCACAGTGACACAGTTTCCCCAACAAGGCCACACCTACTTCAACAAAACAACACCTCCTAATGGTGCCACTCCCTATATGCTTATGGGAGCCAATTACATTCAAACTACCACAGATGATCAATAGTGCCTTTTGCCCAATAGTTCTGAGTCTCATTTTTTGGGGCACATGGCAGAACTGCTCTTTTGTGCCTTTTTTTGGCTAGTGACATGTGAGTAGAAGAGATAAATACTGCCTCAGTGAGACTTTTTATTAAAGATGTATTTTTATTTTTTATGTCTATGAGTGTTTTGCCTGAATATATATATATATATAAGTGCACTGCATGTATGCCTGGTGCCTGTGGAGGCCAGAAGAGTGGGCCAGATCCCCTGAAATTGGAATTAAGGACAGCTGTGAGCCATTATGGGGGTCCTTTGCAGTGAATGCTGTTAATCACTGAGCCATTTCTCCAGCCCCTAGTGAGAAATGTTAAAAGTTAACCTAGATCTGTTGTGTTGGTGAGCTTTCCTTACTAGAACAAACACATGCGGTGACCAAATTATCAGGAAGCAAAGGTTGGTCCCAGGTACTGATGCAGGAGTTTCAGTTAGAGTCACTCTGCCCTGTTGCTTTGGGCCCGTGGCAGAACATGATGGGAGTGTGTGGTGGAGCAAATCTACTCCCATCCCATGCCATGAGGCAAGAAAGAAAGAGGAAAGGGCTGAGGTCCCATTGTCTCCCTAGAGCACCTTTAATGACCTGTCAGTTTCCCATCAGCCCCCACTCATAAAGGCTTTATCACTTCCAACAGTTATATATGGGGACCAATCCTTTACCACATGGCCCTCTGTGGGAACACTTAGGATCTGAACTGTAGCAACTATCACGCTGTATTCTTCTGCCAAGGCTGCACTGGAGATGGAGTCTCTCAGCTACTGTGACACCAGCTCCCTGTTAACCCATGTTGGACTAAAAACAAACAAACAAAACCCAAACCTACTGCACTGAGTCACTGAGGTTTTGGTCTTCTGTGGTTTTTTTGTTTGTTTGTTTGGTTGGTTTTTTTTCTTCCCCTTGTTCATACTAACCTACAACTCTATACAGCTAATTACAAAGATACATGATTGCGAGAGTATGTGGTTTCTAGAAGAAATGTTAAATTACAAAGATACATGATTGCAAGTATGTGGTTTCTAGAAGAGCTGTTAAATAATGGCAGAAAACAATTGCAGCTCAGTTGAAGGCGGGAGAATAGTGAGTGGATTCCTAACTTTTTGTGTTGTTTTTGTAGCTCAGGCTGGCTTAGCACTCACTATATAGCTCAGGTTGGCCTCAAACTCATGGCAATCCTCCTATCTCAAGCCTCCCGGGTGCTGGTAGTCCAGGCATGAGGCATCACACACAGAAATGCTACTATTTTTGATAAAAAAAAAAACTTGACAAGCGATTGAAGAAAATGGAACCAGTAAGAGAGAAAGGCAAAACGTTCCTGATGACAAGGCAGGAGAAACAATAACCATAAGTGCAGGGTCCTCAGAGCCAAGTCCGGTAGCCGGGAGGAAAGGACAACACACGCTGTGGGTGGGACGTGTGCGGTGAGAACCGACCCTGGGACCTCGTGATGAGAAGTCCTCGGGGTCCTGGGTCACAGCAGGGGGGAAAGGTGATGTCAGAGGAGGGATGTATGAGAAAGAAGATGGCATAGGATTACAGATGGCCAGCGTAGACTTCTTACAGCACAGGAGACATTTAGTGCAGGGAGATCCTAGAAGTGAAATGGTAGCTGGAGAAAGAAGTGAGTGAGGCACTGGGGTTTTTAATTGACTTTTTTGTTATTTTTTTAATTGCTCTAGGAAAGGGGGAGTATTGCCTGGAGCCATGCCCTTGAGTACATCACAGGGTCTATAAGTATCACTTCCTGGATAACACCCATCTCAAAGCTTTAGAGTAAATAGACAAGAGTGGTATTATAGCAGAGAGGGAGGAAGGGAGGGAGGGAAGGAGAGAGAGAGAGAGAGAGAGAGAGAGAGAGAGAGAGAGAGAGAGAACACTGTTCCAGTCTATATTCAGAGAAAGGGTTTATACAAAGGTGTGGTCCGTAGAAAGAGAGGAACCTCAGAGGCTGTCTTCCAGAGATGGAGTGAGGCCTAGTTCACTACTGTGAGAAGCTGCCCTTTCTCTGAGTAGGAACTGTCTCTTTGTTGTTAAAGGAGAGAGCCAACTCTTGTGAGTACAGAAGACTAGCCAGTGGGTAGCTGCGTGGTTGAAGAGATGCTATTTGCTCACCTTAGGGATGCTAGAGGTAATATTGGGAGCTGGGGCATCTCTTCCATGGTTCTTCTGCTGTAACCTTCAGGTCAGCCAAGAAGGATTCCAAATCCAGTAGGACACAGGTCTCTACCCTCTCAAGTCTTTCATCTTGAACCATTCAAGGCTTCCTGTAGGGTTTATTAACACTTTCTTTTGCCTGGATGAAAAATAAATGTCAAAGATGTTGGGTATGTGGGTCAGTGGTAGGGTTCTTGCCCAGTATACGCAAGGCCTTGGGCCCAATCCCCAACACTGAAGAAAGAATTGGAGAGGAATGGAGGGGGGGGGGGGGGGAGAAAGGATGCAAAGAGAGAGAAGAAGCCTGGAGCTTCTTCTCCAGGAGCAAGGAAAAGGAGCAAGGGAGAGAGCCAAGGCAGGGTCTGAGGACTCCTCACATCAGCTGGGGCTTCATATCTGGAATTTACTCCCCTCTCTAAAGTCACAAGAAGCCAAAAAACCACAATTCTGAACATCTGGGCTAAAGGGAATGTATTTTTTTTTTTTTTTTTTTTTTTTTTTGGTTTTTTCAAGACAGGGTTTCTCTGTGTAGCTTTGTGCCTTTCCTGGAACTCACTTTGGAGACCAGGCTGGCCTCAAACTCACAGAGATCCACCTGCCTCTGCCTCCCGAGTGCTGGGATTAAAGGCGTGTGCCACCACCGCCCGGTGGGAATGTAGTTTTAATGGTTTAAAGCAGAAAAAAAAAAAAAACGAACAATAACAAACAGAGACACAAACATTTCCTCCTTGACTGAAAATGTCCCCAGACCTATCTGTCTGAAGGCCTGTTAGGAGAATGAGGTACCCAGAAACAAGTCACCAAGATCTCTGGTTTTTCAAGGATGTCAGGGAGAATCTTATTAGTTGTGAACTGAGGAAGGGCACACCCTGGAATATGAGCCCAGGGGCAACCATGGAGGTCTTTGATATGGAATAGAATCCCTCCCTTATAACATACTTGGTGCCACATTGTAAGAGCCCTACAAGTCAGTGAATGGGATGTATGTTGGGAAATGTATTCTATTTCTGGGGAGGGAGGCTGTGATGGTTGTCAACTTGGCTGCATCTGGAATTAACTAAAACCTAAGTGGCTGGGTACACTGTAGATGAATTTCTAAACAGTCTTTTTTTTTTTTTTTTTTTTTTAAAAAAAAAGATTTTATTTAGTAATTATGGAGATAGTGTTCTGTCTGCATGTGTCCTTGCAGGCCAGAAGAGGGCACCAGATCTCATTGCAGGTGGTTGTGAGCCACCATGTGGTTGCTGGGAATTGAACTCAGGACCCCTGGAAGAGCAGTCGGTGCTCTTAATCACTTAGCCATCTCTCCAGCTCTCTAAACAGTCTTATTAATAGAAAACATGGAGCCAGATATAGGGGTGAAAACCTGAGAGAGATCAGAGGAATAGGAAAAGCCACATGCTAACCTCACCTCACCTACTCTGCAGCTTCCAAAAGCATCATTTGCTTCCTGTCTGCCCACACCTATGTGCCTTGCTGTTCTGCCATCTGATTTGCTCTCTCTGTCCAGCTACATCACTTCCTCTTCCTGCACAGCTATGTCACTTCCTCTCTGTCTGTACAGACCTCCAGACCTCCATGGTTAACTAGTGTTGGAATTTAAGGCATGTGCCACCACGCCTAGCTCTGTTCCCAGTGTAGCCTTGAACTCACAGAGATCCAGACAGATCCCTGCCTCCCAAGTATTAAAGGTGTGTGCGACCATTGCCTGACTTCTGTGTTTACTTATAATGGCTGACTTTTTCCTCTGATTTCCAGGTAAGCTTTATTTATTAGAGCACAAATAAAATATCACCACAGTACACGTGTGAGGGATTTTTTTTTAAATTAAATCATTTGAAATGGAAAGACCCCCCTTTAATCTGGATCTTTTGAGGTGGTAAGATCCACCTTTAATCTGGGCCACACCTTCTGCTGGCAGCCTATGTAAAGGACATGGGAGAAAGAAGCTTGTTCTCTTTGCCTGTTTGTTCTTATTCTTGCTGGCAAGTCCATTCCTTCACTGCATTAGAGCCTGCTTCTTTGGGAAACGACATATACCGCAGACCAGCTGAGACAGACATCCAGCCTCATGGATTGAACAGCTACTGGATTCTGGGACTTTCCATTGGTAGGTGGCTATCGTAGGATGAGCTGGACCACAGCCCGTAAGCCACTCTAATAAATCCCCCCACATTCTACCTGGTCTTTTCCTCTAGAGAACCCTGACTAACACAGAGGCATGCACAAAGAGTGTGGAAGAAAGGTACATCCTGGCCTAGAGCTCTGGAAAGGGCAAATTGGCACTCTGGCATAGCAGCTATTACCAGAATTGTGGCCATTCCCCACCAGTCTTCCCTTGGTATCATAGAGACAGTGTGTCTTCCCACCCCCACACCTTCTGCTCACCTCTGCACACCCTAAGATCCACACGTGCTCCTGATCATCTTGAGTCACTCTTCAGTCAACAGACAGAACCACAAGGCACTCTGCAAACCTTCTCCCAGCTAGCCCTAGGCTCCCAGGTAGCCAGTTCCTACAAAAGAAGACTAGAGTGACTTTAAATCCATTTAAATGTAATGAAAATTCACCAAGGAACGCAGGGCAGGGCAGGGCAGGAGCTATGCAGATAAAGGATTGTAAATATAGGTCCCAAGCCCACACGCCATTTGGGGGGAATGCCCTGGACCTTGCTATCTGGATCAGAGCTTGGTCTCGATTATGTCAAATTTCGGCAGGAGCACAAACCTGTTCCTTATCTAGGGGGTTGAATTATGGCAGCTTTAGCTTCGTGTTTAGTAGACAGGTTGGAGGGTATTCGCACCCTGCGGGGAAGCTCATTCCACCAGCCTATCCAGAGCTGAGGAAGGCCTTCTGCAAATTGCTTCCCAAGCCTCAGGAGGTAGCTCTGTCAGCTTCAGAGGCAACCACCTGATCCTGCGGTCCTGAGGACTTGGGCTGCTAGAGCTGGAAGCAAAGGTTTGAAGGCCTAAAGGCTTGCTGAGATCTGGATCACACTGTAGCTTCGCTTCCTCTCTGATTCCCAGATCTGAGCAGGTGCTTGGGGGCACGCGCTGCCCTACCATATGGGCTGTCAAAAGTGTGTTCAAGAGAGACACAGATATTGAAGTTGGGGCCAGAGAGACTAGTGAAGCTGCCAAGGCCTGTTCTTGTCTCTTTTCATAGGTTCCAAAGACCAAGACACTGTGATTCCAGAGGGACAGACACCAGGGCCACCTTCCCAGAGGGAGAAAATGAAGGTTTGGGAAGTGTAATGATGGACGATTATCCTCAGCAGCCACCCATGGGTCCACAGACATTGGGAAACAAACGCCTTACTGGAGCACAGCCTGCTCCTGTACCTCATTTGGCAGGTAACCATGGTTTGGGTAACTTTGCTCAGCAACTCCTCTTCATTGTAACATCGGCTCAAAACTTTGGGAAGGGAGAAAGAAAACTGTATCCAAAGATCCGGGGAGCCAGTGTGTACTGACCGTGCCATTCCGGATGCACAGGGATGTGTGCCACGTGTGGGTCAGCAGAGAGACTCGCTCAGACTCAGGCGGAGGTTCAGCACTGCGGGAATCCAGACTGAGCTTAGTCACTGCAAGTCTGTTCCGACTCTAGGCAAGAGAGCACACCCGCTCATGTTTATTCAAGCTCCTTAAACAGCTGGGTTCTCGTACATATTCATTGGACTACTAACTCAAGTCTAAGGTCTATCTGTCTGTCTATTATTTGTTTGTTCATTTACTTACTTATTTATTTACTTATTTATTTTATTTATTCTGCCCGGAGAAAGTCCAGTTCCTGAAAAGTTCTCACCACCCATTCTCAGGTGGCTGCTGAGGGATCCGGGAATGTGCTCCTGGGCTGTCCTAATGGTCTAACCCCAGGCAGTCTAGATTTTTCTGGAAAGATAAGTCTTCACCTTTTCCTTGAAGACGAGGTCTGTTCCAAAGTCCTATGAGAATGCTGTCTGTTTTCTTTAATACCGCCCCCAACCTCATCAGACAACTTTCAGGTTGCAAAAAAATCTGTTTTGACTGTGGATCTTCAGGGTTAAATTCGTGGATGAGAGACGGCATCCAGGTGAGAGACCCTCTCTCTAAAGTAATTCCAGCCCTGGGGTGGGGCCTTCAGGATACTCAACACTTCATTCAGCAGAGGGTCCACAAGAGTGGGAGCAACCCCTTTCCTATCTCCTCTGTACCCCTCCCTCCCCAGCAAGGGTTTCAACTCTCCCGCTAATGTAGAGGTAGCCTGGTAGGGAGGTCAGTGCCTTGCTGAAGCCCTGTGGAAGGTCTCAACCTGGCCTTGGTTGGAAGGGATCCTCTGGTGACCCTGGAGAAGTGTCACATTCACCCCTTTCCTCCTCTGTCTGTCCCTTGACTGACCCCTTCCTTTGGTGTCGCTCTGTACCTATTTTGTCCTTGCTGTCTTGGAGAATCTTCTTCCAGGCTCTGCACATCTCCTTTAGCCCCCCATTGACCTGGAACCGTTCCCGGCAAAGTGAGACCACCGAGGTGATGGTTCAAACAGCCCAATTAAAACAAACAAACAACAACAACAACAACAACAAAAAACCCAAGCACCACCACCACCAAAAGTCTGAGCAAAAATTCACTTGAACGTGAGAGAGCTAGGAAATGTTTTGGCACACAACTGCCGGGTATTTGCATGTAGTCTCTGTCCCACCCAATAACGTTGCCTTCTGGGATACCCCGCATGGATCTCCAGCACGGTGGAAACTTAGTGTGGATTTGCACATGATGAGTTCACTCTCCTGTGATCTAAAAACAAAAGCTGGGATCTCAGTCTCTCTCTCTCTCTCTCTCTCTCTCTCTCTCTCTCTCTCTCTCTCTCTCTCTCTCTCTCTCTCTCTCTCGTGTGTGTGTGTGTGTGTGTGTGTGTGTGCACGTGCATGCGTGCGTGCGTGTGTGTGTGTGTGTGTGTGTGTGTGTGTGTGTGTGTGTGTGCTCCAGTGTATAAACTGAGTAAGCAAGCTTTTGGAGATGAACTATCCAAAGAGCAAAAGGAGAAAAGGGCTAAAGGCTCCCAGAACTCCAGGTTGCTGGTGGAGGATTTGGGAAAGAAAAGTTGGGCTCCCAGGGAGACCCTGAATTCAGTGGCAACTCCATCCAGGGAGGGCTGACCCTATAGGAAACTTGCTCCTCCCTGCTTGAGGTCTTGAGGGCGGTTTTTCAAAGGCTGGTTGACTTTCTTTCACTGCTCCCCACTTGATGAAAGGGTGGCCCCGGCAGAGACAATCGGTGTGAAAAGCTCCACTTGGTCTCTGTTACAGTTGACAGCGCTTTTCCTTTCGGGATTTCGGCTTTCTGCAGATGGCTAATTACCTTGGGGCGACCCTGGAATAAAATGGTGTGTTTGTGTGTGTGTGTGGAGGGGGGTGCTTAGGGGAGTGTGAGTGCAAGTGAAATTAGCAATTCAAGAATCTCTCTCGGTGGCGCACCGGAAGACTTTCTTGCAATTTCCCTTAGGAAATCTGGGTTTACTAGTGAATCTCACTAGAATTCTTCACCTAGAGGTTCTAAATGAGTATTAGGCCGTGTGTCTCCAAGTCCTTGGCTAATATGATGATAAACTCATCCTCGAAGAGCAGTGAGGGGCAAGGGTGGGCTTGTTTGTCAAAAAGTCACTAAATATCCCCTCCCTGAATGAAACCAGGAGCTCAGAGGGGGAGAAATCAGGTGCAGACGTCTTTAGAAGGAATTAAAAGGCCATAGCTGATTCTCATTTTCTCTTGAGTCATCTGTGAATGGAATGCTGGGCAGCAGAGGTGGGGTGGGGGCGGGCAGGGGGCTGCAAGGCATGCATGGAGAGAGAGGGGGCCCCTTGTCTACTGAGTGCCACTTTCCTGCTTTTCCAGGATGTCCCTGAAGGCCCAGCAGCCACACTAACTTGGGAAACCCTGTGGGACAGCTCCCTGCCTCCCACACACCCACTACCTTAATCTTAAGATTTAGTTCATCCAAGAGACTCCCTTCCCTACAGGTGTTTCTGCAAAGGAGCATCACAAGATTTCCAGATTTTCCCATTTCTAGGAATCTGTAGGTTTTGAGAAGAGCCCAAAGCTAGAAGGCTCAAGTTACATTTTAAAATGAACAAGGCTTTCCCGCCACCTTGGCATTTAGGTCGAACGGCTGTGTGTGTGTGTGTGTGTGTGTGTGTGTGTGTGTGTGTGTGTGTGTGTGTGTGTGTGTGTGCTTTGAGAGCTGGAGGCACTCATTTTTGCCATAATTGTGAAGTCTCACTGCCGGTCAGGGAGGTCGGCCCGGTTCAGAGAGTGTGAGGCTCCACCTTTGCAGGGACCTGTCAGCTGGATGCTGCATAATTCCAGTTATTTCCGTCAGGGAAGGACAACACAATACAAGGCAGGGACTGCGAAATTGGGCTGCAGGGTAGTCTAGCAGCCGCCGCACCTGGGAGTGAAACATCGGGAAGGAAACGTTTCCTAAGTTAGTAGCCAGGGCCGTTATGGATGCCTCCAGGGCAGGGAACCCAAGAGTGTCCTACCACAGCAGGGTGGTGTGCAGCCTTCAGCTAGCTATTCAAGGAGGATGAGTCCTGTCCCTCTCGTCCATTCAAGCTAGGATGGCTAGAAGCCAGAAAGGGTGTGTGTGTGGGGGGGGGGGGGGGCGCAAAACAGGAATGAGGCCATTAAAAAAAATGCCTATCTGTAAAGGAGTGAGCAGTGTTTCTTAAAAAGGGGAGCGAGCCTTGCTCCCCCATCCCCATCTTCCACTTCAGCAGGGAGGATGGGGAAGGAATGAGAACTGGGATGTCAGTGATGGCTCCTGTAATTTTAATATTCTTTCTTTTTCTTTTCTCTTCTTTCTTTCTCTTCTTTCTTTCTTCCTTTCTTTCTTTCTTTCTTTCTTTCTTTCTTTCTTTCTTTCTTTCTTTCTTTCTCTTCTTCCATTACCTCTGCCTCCTTTTAAAATTTATCTCGTCTTTATCAGTGGCCCAAGTAAGCTGGGGGAAAAATCTTCAGCAAGATTGGAAAACTGAAAGTTGTCCTGAGATAGGTTCTTAGCACCGTCTTTCCACTTGAGTGAGGGGCTGATCCCTCCTCCCCGCCTGATAAATTTATACTCGTTCACTCACTCATTCATTTCACAGTATTTATTCACTGAGCTCACCTCTCATGTGCCAGACACTGTATGAGACTCTGGAACCCAGGATGAAGGGAAATGAGACCCTCCCCGTGGAGCCGCAGGATTGGTTCCCTGGAATGCTCTAAGATGAGAATGTGACTTGGCCTTGCCAGGCTTGCTGGGGCACACATCCCAGAGAACGGACCGAGGAAACATAACTTTTACATAACTTTTACTTCTCTTTTCCTTTTTCCTTTCTTCGAGTAGCAAAGGACCATTAATTAGAAGAATAATTACAGCTACCCTATATTATTCCAACCTGTTCAGTTTCTATCTGCTGCAGACAATGCTAATCATGGCAATTATTGCTTCTGTAAACACCCCGAGGCGGCACTCTTCCCCCGCAGTGTGTGTGTGTGTGTGTGTGTGTGTGTGTGTGTGTGTGTGTGTTTAAAGAATATATATAAAAAGTTCCCCCACTCATTTACATAGCTTCATCCTTACCTTTTCCCATTCAGCCCTAGCAAAAAGCATATCTATTCAAAGCCCTTGCAAAAAGCATATCCATTCAAAGGGCATTTAGTCCATTTCTTTCTTGGCGGGTAAACCTATTCATCCATTGTCCTGCCTTGTAGATTGCATTCTAATGCTAATCTAGCGTGTTAAATATCTTTTTGTTCCTTTCACCGTTTTGTCATTCAGTTTATCCAGTTTTGGTCACCCATTTTATTTATTTATGCGCCTGCTCCTATTCAGGGGCTCATGTATTTTTTATTATGTTGTTTCACTGTCACGCAGTGTCAACTTAGTCTATTCAGTGGGGGCTACTTGAAGGCCGGAGGGACAAAGCCAGTACACATTGCACCGCTATTCATTCCGGCCAGCTGGATCGGCTGAAAAAAAAACCTTGTGAAAAGAAACGCCTCACAATGGACACAGAAGAAGTGCACAATGCTAACAGTTTTCCAAATACCAGCGATTGGTTTCTTCACAATGAGGAGAAAGCCGTCGCTTTTTCTTAGCTCCACTTCAACAAACAACACTCTCACAAAACCTCCCAACCCCGCGTTTTGTTCCCGGACAAAACCTCCTCGACTGTCTAAACGCTCCCACTGAAGGACAAAAAAAAAAAAAAAAAAAAAAAGGAAAAAAAAAAAAAAGCTCTTTTCACTATTCCCCCCCCCTTTTTTTTTTCCTGCAAGAGAGGAAAAAGAAAAGAAAAGAAAAAAGGGGGGGGGGATTGTCAGTGAATTAATAATATCAGTCTTTTAAAAGAAGAAGGTTGACCTTTGAGATGCACTGGGCTGAGGGAGAAAGGACGGGGGAGAGATTAATAAAGTTTGGATGGCGCTCCCTCTGCCTTCGCGGGGCCGCGAGAAAGCAGCAGCCGCATCGGGCGGGCGCGACACTGGGACGAGCGGGGAGGACCCGGCCCGCAGCGCCAGGCTAGCCGCGCGCTGATTGGCTGGCGGGCGATCCCTCTCCACCCCGGGAAGTCTCAGCATCTCCTGCGCCCTTGCAAAGGCACAGGCAGCCTGGGCGCCAGAGGGAGATGGGCGCTGTTTAGTCCTGGTTGGGGAGGGTGAGACTGCCAGAGGCAGTAACCGCAGAGCCACCTCACCGGCTTCCCCGAAGTCACCCCCCTGGAGGCAGTTTTCTCCAGCACGAGGCCTTATTGCTTAAACACATCCTTCCCACCTGTTTGCTTGAAGCCAAAAGCAACAAGGCTCGGTCCTTCTGAGATGAGGTTTGTGTAAAGCTTTTAGGCACCCCTGACTCCAAAGAAACGTCATGTTTAAAACAAACAAACTGAAAATTGGAAGGGCAGAACCGAGGTGGGGATAGGAGAAGAGAGCGAGGTGGAGGAAGGGCCGCTGCGCCGAAACAGAGATGGAGAAATAGAGAAGCGGAGAAACTGTCCTCTACCCTTGGTCACAGCGCTGCTTTTGTGGCTCACTTTCCAACTCTGGTACCCAACCCGCCCATTCTCCACACCTTCCTGCCTGATAGCTGCTCCTGCTACTCAGTACACACCCTTACGACACCCCACCCCGGATTACTGCACAGTCTACTTGGCCAGAGGCCCTCTCTGGGTGTAGAACCCGCCAACTTATTAGTTAAGATCACTGGAGAGTGCGTGATAAGGAGTCTCGGGAGCCTGCGGACTGGGTACCAACTGCCGCGCGATGCTGAAGGATGCGTCCCTGGTACCCCTCTGCCCGGTGCCATCTCGCCTCCCCTTACCGTTCTTTCTAGACTTCTCATTCATCTATGCTCGAAGCCTTTCTCCCAGAAAATGCTGAACTTTGGGGAAAGGGTGGGAGGAGGGGGCGCGAGAGGGGCGGGGAATCTTCTGCTGCGGGGGCCGAGCTGCTAGGCTCGGGAGGTAACTAAGATTTAGGGCTGGGGCGATTTCCAGCAAGCCGCAGGAAGTTCCGTGTTGAGAAGTGATGGGTTGCTACAAAAGGGAAAGACGAAGCTTTGAAAGGATTTAATTAACCGTGTCAGGGATAATTACCCCTGGACAGTCCAAATTAGTTTTGCATAATCGCTCAGAACCATATGAATTAACTTATAATATTGCAAAGAGCCGGGGGAATAACAGGAGAGGGATCGTTTTAATTACTGAATCAGGGTCAGACCAGCACAGCCTATTTCTCACATTTCCAAAACTTTTCATGGTTTTTAAAATATTATTCCGTTGGGAGAAAACGATGACTTTAAAGACTTGGGCCCTTATGAAGATGTGCAGCTCGGGGATGGCTTCTGTCAACAGGGAAACAGGTTTAAGACTTCTCGGTATAAAATCCTGAGACTTCCCAACTCAGAACTTGGGCGTTCCTGAGCTTCATACACTCCACCCGCCCTCGATCTATCTGCCAGTGCCCTATCATTTTCCTTCTAAAACTAAAATGCTTTATGAACTTAACTTGTCTCCAGTGGAGACATGCCTAGCACTGGAAAGCCAGCCCTCTGGTTAGAATCTGCCACGCTGCACGTCTATTTTAAAACTATTAGCACGACAGAATAAAGCCCCACGGAGGCCAAAAGTTGTACCTTTCTGTTGGCAGTGATTACTCTTCCGAGTAAATCCTTAAAGTGCAAATAAGGAATACCCTAAAGATATGTGAACAAATTACACCGATTTAAGTGGTGGGGCTGCTCTGCAAACAAGATAAAGTGGTCAGGCAACTTTCCCCTCTGAAACATGTTACTGGAAACTGGTGGAGTGCTTTGAGCAGTCTAGATGTTTTCAATGGGCTCTCTTCTACTGGTTCATGAATGCCTTCCCCCACCCCCGAAAGATAATGCAACTACTTGGGTTTTTTTCTTTTTTAAATCTTTCCTATTCACGATTAAAAATGTGATAAATCAGGTTTTTGGCTCTGAATAACAATGGCTTGATTTAGATTTCCTAGTAAATCTATTCAAAAGTGAAACAAAGACGGCCTTTGGAGGATACCTTACATTTCACCTGGGCCAGGCACCGTAAGGGCAATTCAGATAAAAATCTTGTTAGGTACTCAACAAGAAATAGAGGATTTTCTCTTTTCCCTGGTTCAGGCTTTATTTAAACTCTTTGTTCAAAAAAAATGAACAGAGTGATAATAGGATTCTAATTTACAGATATAGCTTAGACGCATCTAATATTAAATTAGAAGATCGCACAAGAAAACCATTTACACATAAAAGTTAAAACCAATATTTAAACTTTTAAAACTTTATCTTACATAAAGCCAAAATGAAACTAAATACATGTTAGCAACTTCATTCACAAACATTAGTCAAAATATATACATTTAAAAAGGAACAAAAAAAAGCTATAATTTGAGGAAGTTTTTTTTTTCTAAAATGTATTTTATCATAATTTGCAAGTGAGTTGCCGGCGGTCTAGAACATCAGCTAATCTGAAAGGGAGCTCCGAAGAACACATGGAAACAGTTCAACATGGGAGAGGAATGCTAGCTGACAATGAGAGGCATCTTTCAAAAACAATTCTGTGCTTTCTTTCTGTTTTCTTTTTCCAGTTTTGCTAAATAATAAATATATAATTATGACCCAGACAAAAAAGTCTGATTTAATCTTAGATAAAATTGCGATTCTGAAATAGTTCCGCAATTCTTAAAAGTTAACTTTGACATTTGCTTCAACATGGTTTTTTTTTTTTTTTTGAGTCTAAAACCGACTCAAATTTAGGGCAACGAGAATAACACATTTTCCAAGACTCAATGTTTTCATTGACATTCACACATTTACAGTCTTAAGGTGGACTCAGCCATGAGGGGAAAGTAGCAAGCAGGCTTTCCACGCGTTTGTAAACTGCGTCACAAGTCCAAGCCAGCGGACTCAGGCAGACTCCTAGGAGATTTTCCAGGGGTAGAATATCCAACTGACAGCTTCCACCCTACACGTATTTTTTGCATTTCCCCCCCTTGGGGAAGAAAAAAAAAAGAGCTCCTGCTTTGATTTGCATACGGGATGAAACAGAAGACAGGGTGATCATCTCTCATACAAAGGCCCGATTCGAGCCGGTCACTGGTCAAGAGTAGATCCGGTACAGGGTCTGCAGGGTTCAAACAGTGCACACCGAGGAAGGCGGCCCGGAGCCACCCTCCTCTAGGAAGCTAACGACCGGTCATCAACTCTCCCCTTTGCAAGACATTTCAGACCTAGCATCAGAACCGGATGCATGCAACACAGACCGAGGAGGACCGGGGGGTGGGGGCCGGGGGGAGGAAAGATGAGACACAAAAAAGCAAAAAATCCAACCGACAAAACTGGAAAGCCCACCTTGTCACAGACTTTCTCCTCCCACCTCTCTGGGTCAAAACGCAACAGGTTCCGAAGTGCAAAGCGAACCCCGAGCTGGCGCACACACCCTCGCTCCTAAAGTTGGCTGCAGAAGTGCGGGTGGGAAGGGATCCTAGCATCCACTCGCTCGCTCGCTCGCGCCCTCGAGCGCTCGCTCGCTCGGTCATTCGAGCCCCGGCTGGCAATCTCCGCCTCTGCCCTACACCTATACATCTATGTACACACACCCCGGGCCCCCAGTCGCCCCGGGGCGCACGGGGAGGCCGCGAGTCTCGTACCTATACATATACGTACACGTGCGCACCCAGGTCCTCGCGGGTCGGCCCCGCGGGGTCATAGCGCGGCGGCGTAGGCCGCGGGGTAGGGGTCCAGCTGAGGCTTGCCCATGCCTGGCAGCAGGATGTAGGCGAGCGGCGGCTGCAGCCCCGGGCTGGGCCACGCGCTGCAGTTGCACGGGATCATGTAGCCCGGGTTGCCCGGGCTGGGGTGCGAGTGCGTGTGCCCCCCGGCGGCCGCCGCGGCCGCTGCAGCCGCCGCCGCCGCACCGTGGAAGGCCCCCGCGCCCGCGGCGGGGTACCCGAGCGACGACGCGTACGGCAGGCCGGACGACGACGACGAGATCTCTGCCATCTTGGAGCCCAGGTCGAGTAGGGAGTAGGGGCTGCCCGCGGCGGCGGCGGCAGCGGCGGCGGCGGCGGCGGCCGCGGACTGCGGGAAGAAGACGCGCGCGGCGGCGGCCGCGGCGGCGGCGGCCGCCTTCTCGGGGTTCGCGAGCAGGGACTCGGGGACCAGGCCGCCGCCCGCGCCTGCGTGCAGCCCTGCTCCCGCCTTGAGCGCCGGGTGCTCGGCGTCCGCCACGCCGCCCAGGCCGTAGGGCACGGGGAAGGCGAACTTGTCCTTCTTGAGCAGCGTCTTGGGCTTGCGCCGCGGCCGGTACTTGTAGTCGGGATGCTCCTTCATGTGCATGGCTCGCAGGCGCTTCGCCTCGTCGATGAACGGCCTCTTCTCCGACTCGGTGAGCAGCTTCCACTCGGCGCCCAGGCGCTTGCTGATCTCCGAGTTGTGCATCTTCGGGTTCTCCTGGGCCATCTTCCGCCGCTGGGCCCGCGACCACACCATGAAGGCGTTCATGGGTCGCTTGACGTGGTCCACCGGCTTGGACATGCTGTCGCCGTGTCGCGGCTGCAGCCCGCCGCCGCTACCCGGGCCCTCGGCCTCCGCCCGGAGGAAATCAATGTTGGCTGCCAGCCGGGACCTGCTCAGCCGGCGACCGTGCGTCCCGGCGTCGCTCCCGCTCGGGAAGAGGGGAGCAGAGGACCAGCCCAGGGCCGGGGCGCTGCGTCCCGGGCCGCTTTGGTCTCTCTGGCCGAACTCTAGGAACAATCCTCTTCGGGACCCTGGAACTTCTCGGCAGTGTCCCCACTCCGCGGTGGTACTTTGCCCTCTGCTTTCTTTTTGTCCTTCGGTCCGGTTGCCTTTGCTCGCCAACTCCCTGCAGGTGGCCACTGCCTGGACAGGCGCTGCCCTGTCCTCTGTCTGCAAAGCCTTAAATGCCAAGCAGCCCCGAAAGTTGAGTGACGGAGGATCTTGCACCAAGTTGAGCCGAGGAGCCCGCCGCCGCGTGCTGCCAAGTGCCAAAAGGGGCTCTCGGCCGCTGGAGTGTTTGGGTTTTCCGCGGTGACTTTCTCATTTGACAGAAGCAGATGGGAGTGGGGGAGGGGTGGCCCGCGAAGAGGAAGAGGAGGGGGAGGGTCTGGGCGCGCAGAGCCCCGCGATGGATAGAAACACAAACACACCACCGGCGGGTCTTCTCGACTGGAGTCAGGGCGCGCTGAGGGAACCCCCAATCCGATAGCTTTGCCGAGGGCGGGCACTGTCCCCTGGCACCTGCCTCGAGAGTCTCGCCCCCAGGCTTCCGCGCAGGAGAGGTGAGGAAAGAGGTGGGATGAGGTTTTGAGCAAGCCTGAGTCGCCGGGCCTCAGTGGAAACCGTCCGCGCTCTCCGAATCGCGGCGAATGCCCGGGGCCATGCTTGCTCCACTGGCACCTAGCCCCTCCAGGCTCGCCCGCCGACTGGGGCTCCAGGAGCACTCCAGGCGTGGAGGGCGGCGCCGTGCAACGCAGCTGGCCAGGCCCAGGCGGCTTCTCCTCCTGCCTTCGGTCGTCGTAGCCAGACACTTGCAACTAACTTCTTGCAAGTTTCCGGCCCGGGCTCAGCCGCGCCCCTCTCGGTGAGCGCGCGGCGAAGCGTGCGCCCGCGTGTGTTCCGCGCCCGGGAGCCCGTCTCTCCCGGCTTCTCCCGGGGCCGTGGGCTGGATGGGTGGGGGGACCCAGGTACTGGAGGAGGGGGATTAAAGAAAACGCGCCATCACCTCGGATCCCGGGTCTGCGCTGGGGCCGCTCCTGCTTTCCCCACTCCGGGCCCCTTCCGGGCCCAGGCCGTCGCTCCGCCGCTCCCAAGGTGGCTGGAGCCCTCTGTACCAGCTCAGGTGAGTGTCGCCACCTGCGAGTGTAGGCGCCGGCAGCGGGCGCTGGGTGTGCATGTCCAGCCGCGACTGTGTGTGAGTGTGTGTGTATATCCTGGGTGTGCGGAGGAGGAGGAGCCCGGGACTCCAGGAGGGAGGAGGGACCAGCGGAGCCTCCTCCCGCTTCCCCCTCCCGACCTGAAATTAGCAGGATCGCGCCCCCCCCCCCTCCTTTCGCCCCCTCCCAACACTCCTCCTCCTACTCTTTCACTTCGAGTGCAGGTTTAGGCGAGTGGAGAGTCCGCCGCGCGCCGCAGAGTCTGCGCACTGTTTGGTGCTTGGCAACCCTTGGTGTCACCGGCGGTTGCCCCTATTCGGCCCAGCGCTACCGTGGCTCTGCTGGCGGCTCCAGAAGGCCTCTTCTGGGAGAATAAAGGTGGTACATCCGAGGAGCCGAGGAGCCGAGCTTCAGGAACTACAGAGGAAGAGGGTTAAGCCTGAGGAGGTGTGGTGGGGGCGGGGAAGGGGGGCGTCTTTGAAAGTGAGACTGTTCCGAAAGGCAAGAAAGTGCTCATTTTCCTCGGAGGGCCAGATGTGACTTGCAACGGACGCTTCCCGCATTTTCTTGCCTGCTGATGCACCCAGTCAGAGGTAGTGGAGCGAAAAATAGCCTAGGATGGACAGGGTGTTTTTTGGCAAGCTTTTGGCAAAGGAGTGAGCCTAGGCTGAGTCTGAATCCTCATTTGAATAACCAGGTCTTTCATAATTGTCTTCTGCCTTGTTTCGCTTTCTTTTAATCCTGGTCATCAGAGGCATCTCGGTGTCATCTCTTTAATATTCAGTCTTTCCACCGCATGGTAGGGGGAAGGTGCCTCAAATCAGGAGTATAAATCTTTTCTCTAAACAAAATTTAAAAAACATGCTCCACACTAGACTACTTTTATGCTGTTGAGCACATTTTCTTGCTTGGTAATTAGAACAATTATAATTGACGCTCTGAGGAGAAATCAAGCAGCGTAGTTTTGTTTGCCCCCCCCATCTTCCTGGGACTCCCCCCCTCCCCAGGTAGTCACTGCTTCAGGCAGTTGGCCTGCTTCCTGCCTTTGGCTGTTTGCAAGCAACGCATTTGTATAAACAGTTAATTTTTTATGTCTTCTTTCCATTTATGTTCAATTTGTACACACCCCGGACCCTTAAAGCACTGATTGCAATTATGGCATTGATATGAATTGTTTCGCGCATCTATTTATTTAAGAATTAGGCTTGTTTTGTTGCTCGTTTAAAGTGAAGAATAGCGATTGTGTTTGAGAATGTTGGTTGGGATGACAGACGGGCCAGTCAGCAGCGGGGTTTCTGTTTTCCGTAGCTGTCAAGTTTGCCAATCCTTGTTTCCTATCGTTTTTGCCCTTCTGTTGCTGAAACAACTGAACTGATTTCTCTAGAATCATACTTCTTTAACACACTCTAGAAGACACTGTCATTCACAGGCTCTGGGTGGTGCAATGTTAAGACACTAGCAGGTGTAATTACATAGACTAGGATATTAAATATACTGTTTCATGATGATAAACTACAAAATTACCATCTCTGAGCTTTCAACCTACCAACTTGTATAATAGGTTTGAGACAAAACTATTACACACTGTCACACAAAGAACACGTAGATGAGGACACAATATATGAAACTGTTATTCACTAATTCCGAATGAAGTTGGGTCTAATAATGAAAATTACCTTGACATAAAAATATTGAAGATTGAAGAAATTAATTCATGTTGGTATTTTAAATGATTTTATGTGTTTCAAATTTGTCTTTAAAATCTTCAATAAATTATGATTGCACTGAAATGTTTGCATATATGAGCAAAAGCTATGCTTACATGTGCTATGTTGTCAAAATAAAATACATCAAACTTCCTCACATAGCCCCAGTATAAACTGTGCAATGTTGCCTTTTTAGTGAATGAATCGAGTTAAAAAGTTCTGTAGAGAGCAAAGACACAGAAAGAAAACAACTGTGTGTGGTTCTTGTTTTCACCAAACAAAACTTGGTGCTTTTCAAAGTAGGAGGGTTTGATTCGTCAGTTCTGGATTTTTGAGGATCAGTATTCTTGGCCTGAGACTTTCACATCCAAGAAAAGAGTACCCCGGTAATTGTGTGATGAAAGAAAGTAGTGTGTCCCTGTTATCCATCAGCCTTTAGACCTCTGGCCTGAACCTGGCTGAGCTTTTAATAAAGGAAAACCCCAAGCCATTGTTATATATACATAGCAAATGTAAATTGACTTTTAATTCGCTCCTATGTCCTGGTCATATTGGTGGGGTGGTATGTGCTCAAACAGCTACGACGCAGTCAGTTCTGTCTGAAAGACGAAAACCTACTTTACAGGAAATGGAATGGCTGCTGGAAGGAAGCTGCAAAGGACAAAGACATTGCAGAGAATTGTGAGGGTAATGGGTCTTGTTTTGTCAACTCTTAGTAAGCATCCAGAAACCGGGCTGGCTGGTCAGTGGCACCCGAAGGGTCTGTTTTCCTTAGGGACACAGTAACACCTGGAGCCACAGATGTGTCAGATGGGAAACTGAGACACACTTGCAGGAAACGTCTGTGGGCGTCCAAATACTGTTTCCTTTTTCTTTTCCCTTGTAGCCTCCTCTGTAATTGGTCTCCTTCCAATCCTAAAACCTTCACTAGGAGGCAGCAATGAGGTTGGTAGGAGCAGGAAAATACCTGGCAATACAAAACCAGCCAGCTCCATTTCCTCCTTCCTAAAGGATGCTGAGGTCCCAACAGGAACCTAGACATGTTCCTCCATCTTTTCAACCCTCCTCCTCTTCCCCACTTCCTCCTCCTCCCCCTTCCTCCCCTCGCCCCTCCCTCCACCCTCCTTCCTCCTTCTCCACCCTCCCTCTGTATGGTATTTCAAACTACAAGGTTCAGAAAGCAAAGGTGATATCTTCAGCACACGGAGGCCACACCTCTCGGTGGGACTCACCTGGAAGGGGAGAGCTGAGGCTCAGCTCTTAAGCACACACTATGGAAATGCAATGCAGTCTATTTGACCTGTCAGGAGGGAAATGGTGACGTGGTGACAGCAGCCAACCTTATGTAGGTTTTGTCACAGCTCTGCTTTCCTACTCCTTTTAGCCCCCAAAGGTGGTGACACCCAATACAGGGTCCCAGTGAATTAAAGAGACAAGAGCGGTTTAAATCAAGGGCTGCACATGAGGCTGTTTCATGTTGCTGTTAAGTTTCCAGCTTTCTGAGATCCCAGTCCCTTGATTTTCATTGTTCCTGCTGTGCTTGCGAACGAAGGCTGTGCTGGTCAGTTTTGGAAACACCTTTCTCTTTGTGACTGTGTCCACCAAGAAGGCTGGCATTGGCTAAAAGAGCTTGACCTAATGACAAAGCAAGAAATGTCAACACTGTCTACTCTCGCCTCCTCAACTTCTTGCCCACCCCACAAAAAGAACCCTCTCTAAGCTAATTTAAGACAGGCAAGGCACAAAATCCCAATTTTAGGTCTTAAGATTCTGCAAAAGTAGCTGAGAGCTTTAATTCTCTGTAGCTAAGTGCTTTCAAGCCAGTTTTTTTGGGGGGGTTGGGTGGGGGGAAAGGTGCTATGCTTGAGGAAATCCAGAAATGCACAGCCTGTCATGTGACCTGTGGTGTTGAAGGATCCTCCCAACTTTCTGGAGTTCTCAAATGGAGACTG